CACGTGATAGGCTTTCCACCTCGTCCTCAAGTCGTTTGTGTTTAGGCTTTGGTTTTATAACATTTTTATTACTTTTTTAAAACATTATTTATATCGTATTGAATTATAATATAAAAGTGAGCAGAAATTATAACTCACCGCATAATTGCGAATACCAGGGTAAATAAGCTTATTGTGTATTATGTAAACTACATAAACAAGAGCAATAATTATAATGAAATAAACCATTTTATAATATTAATTAATAATTGCAATGCAATTAAAGCTAAAATTATTGTATTTATAAACATATGGTTTTAAAGTGAAAAATTAATACAGTTAACCCTTGTATCTTGAAGCCTTCCATCTTGAATTTCTATCTATCTTGAAGTCAAACTCAAAGTCCCGATTCATCCCATAGAAGTCTAATGTTAAATTCCCTCATATCTTGAACCTTCTAACTTGTATCTTGAAGTGATTTTTAGAGTTTCAATAGCTATTGTATATACTTCTATCTTGAAGTTTCAAAAATAACGTCATATAAATGAAATTATTTTGCCAAAAATGTGTATAATCAACATAATTACTGGTTTAAATGTGTAAAACAAACATCCAATTCAAAATATGAAACATTTTCAGTAATTTTACACTAATTTTACATCTAACGTGAGCTATAAACTTCTAACTTGAAATTTTACTCATTTTGAACATTGTAACTTGAATTTTTCTAACTTGAAATCCTTCTATCTTGAAGTCATTTGTCAAGACCCGACCATTTCAAGATACAAGGTTTTTCTGTATAAATTATTTTAGGAGTAAATTGTTTGCAATTGTGTTATGATTTACACATTGTTTTGTTGTTTATTTATAGATAATAGGAAATAACTCACGGATTAGCTCTGGTTAGTGCTCATTGTTTAGACAATAACATTGTATATTAAATCATTGCTTATTATTAAAGTCAATTCAATACATTCAAAGCCTATAAGATGTGTAACCATAACGAAACCAAAGCGGTTACCGCATGTCAGCCAATACACACCCGACCAGCTATTCTTCATATCGTACGCTACGGTCTGTTTGCTTATCACAGCTTTTCATTTCAATCTAATCTCAATGTCGTTGTCTTCACCCAAAGCTATGGTGCGATAATATAAGACCAGAAGCGTTGGAGAGTGTTTACGAGAGCGATGAGCACAGCCCTCCCAGAGCGCGGCTCAACCATTAGCCAACTGTTTTGCATTCAATTATCAATTCAACAATGAATCCAAAATAGCGTTTTGTGTCAAGTCTTGTGTTTAACTTAATCAACATTAGTCTACGCGAAACAAAACGCGATTCACCGCAAAGACTCCGAACAGAGTATCGCAAACATTTCACATGTTATGGACTCTGAGTTACAGTTATTGACAAGTTTCAAACACTTATTATTTTAATGACGTCAGTGTTCGCGCGGATTGATGCCTTCGCGCACTTCATTCCGCAAACTGCCCGCGAACTCCGTCTTCCCGTCCCACTCCTCGTCGCGCGCTTTGAATCCCATCTTTTCGAACAAATATTTCCAGAATTCTTCGCTTTTTTCTCTCAAAACCCGTTTTCAATCAAAAAAGTTCGCATTCTTTGCAATCGTCTCTGAATTCGATTCCATTTCTGAATTTTCTCCAAAATTTTCGTTCATTTCTCCGAATATTTCTGAAAACTGAAAATTTTAGTTATTTTTACGAATTTTTGTCAAAACTTACGAAAAATTAAACAAAAAATGAAAACAAAAATTATTTTTTTCGACATTTTTCGCCAAACAATCGCTTCGAACGACATCTCGTGAAAAACACATCATTTTTATTTCGAATTCTTGAAAAACATCTGTTTTTTGATTCCATTTTCGGAAAAATACAAAAAACAGATGTTTTCGCGAAAAATGGACTAAAATTTCGCAATAATCGCAGAAAAGACGGAAAAACGAGATTTTATTCTCTTTGAAAATACAATCAGTTTTTCGTTCGAGAATTGAATCAAAACTCAAACGAAACACAATTCAGACATAAATAGGAATCAGTTGAATCCGCTGATTGCCGCCATCGCCTTCTTCCGCGCCTCTCTGTCCGCCGCCGTCTCTCTCACGTTCTGCTGATTGGCCGCGAACGACATCACGTGACCTCTTCCTCCTCCGATCTCTTGCGTCACTTCCGTTCGCTCGCGATATAACCGGAAGTCGCGTTTCGGGAACCCGTTGTCGAAGCGCTCCACGAATTCCGCGCGCAATGAATGCGCTAACAATGAATGCAAACGAAATTCAATTCAAATTCAAATATTTATTGTTTTTACCGAAAATGAGAGCAAAAGTGGAAACAAAAATAAAAACGAGTTTTGAATTCATTTTCATTCAAAAAACATCTGTTTTTCCTTTTAATTACTCTTTCGTCAACAAAGTCTCCAAAATGGACGAGTAGTCCATTTCCCCCGCGTTCGCCTCCACGTCCCGCACGCGCCACAGCCGTCCCCTCTTCCTCTGATTCCTCAGCACTTCCTCCTGGTATTGTCTCTCGATTCGCCGTTTTCGCGAACTTTCCTTCAATTTATTCCACAAACTGAGAGAAAAGAGGATTAAAACCAAAAACCAAAACATTTTTCAAACCTTTTTTTCGTCTCTTTTTCGCCGAAAACCAGAAAAACAAAAATCACTGAAAATTCAAATCAAAAATGAACGCAAAGTCTCGAGAATTCGCAAACAATTCAAACCTAGAATGAGAAACGCTTTCATCGCGACAACAATTCAACACAAATTCAAATATTTATTTCTCTCTCTAAACCACTAAATCGCTGTCTTTTTTCTCCCTCTCTTTGTCCAAATCTTTTTGCAGCTTTTCTTTCGCCTTTTCCTTCAAGCTCTTCAACTTCGCCGCCAGAAATCCCTTCTTCTCCTTCTTCTCCTCCACCGCCGCCTCCGCCACCGGCGGGCCGCCCATCGCCGCCATTACTTTGGCCATCGCCGCGTCCGCCACCGCTCCCGCCTTGTCGTCCAGCGCGTCGTTCTTCTTCTCCAGCTTCTTCACCACTATTCTCTTGATGACTCCGCCCTTCTTCGCCTGTTCCTTCACTTTCCCCAACAGCGCCTTCAGCTTCTTCTTCTTCGGCTTCTTCGTCGTCGGCTTCTTCTTCGCCGCGCCCGCGCTCTCCGGCGTCTCGGGCTCTGCCGGCGCCTCCGGCTCTTCCGCCTCCTCCGCCTCGCCCTCCGCTTCCGCGCTTTCTTCCTCTTCTTTTGTGGTCTCTTTTCCCGACTCTTCCGCAGTTTTCTTCTTCTCGCGCTTTTCCTTCTTTTCTTCCTCTTTTGTCGTCTCTTTGTCGTCAGCCGTCGCTTCGGTTGTCTTTTTCTTCTTAACTTTGCTCTTCTCATCGCTCTCCTCTTCTGTCGTCTCTTTTTTTGTCACTGTTTTCTTCTTCTTCTCGCTATCCTTGTCGTCCTCTTCCTTCTCTTTTTCGGTCGTTTTCTTTATCTTCTTCTTGCCCTTCGTCTCGCTCTCGTCCTCTTCCGTCTTCTCCTTGTCCTCAACTGTCGTTTCCTTTTCTTTCGTCTTCTCTTTTGTCGTCTTTTTTGCCGTTTTCTTCTTCCCGCTCTCGTCCTCCTCTTCGGCCGCACTTTTCTTCTCTTTGCTCTCATCGCTCTCCTCCTCTTCTGTCGTCTCTTTTGTCACACTTTTCTTCTTCTTCTTGTCGTCCTTTTTGTCTTCCTCCTCTTCGGCCGCATTTTCGGTCTTCTTTTTCTTTTTGCTCTTCTTCTCGCTCTCTTCCTCCTCTTCTTCTGCCGTCTCTTCTTTTGTCACTTTCTTTGACGTCTTCTTTGTCGCCTTCTTCGGCGTCTCGCTGTCGTCAACCGTCGCCTCCTTGTCGTCGTCGTCGCCGCGTTTCCGCCGCTCGAGACTCCACTCCTCTGAACACAAGCCATGAATTACGCGAAACACCGAAAGAAGCGATTCTTACCGAAAGAGTGGACGAAAGAAATCGCGAAAACAATCACAAGAAGCAAACATTTGAACGACATTTCCATTTAATTATTTATTATTTAATTACATAAACAACGTCTCAGCCCTTCCGCCCCCCCTTCCACACGCGCACCACAACCGTGCCGTTCGTGTACTCCACGGAATCCGCCGTTTCGGAGTTCGGCACTTTCCTGAATCCCGGAATGTGCAGAAACTCCCCGAACTTCATGATCATGTCTTTCCCCCAATTGATGAACGAGAAGCCGCTCTTCGCCTTCTTCGGTCGTGACGTCACGCTCTCCTTCCTGTCCTGCAAGTACTTCAGGTGATTGCCCGGACTCTTGTCGCCCGCCTCGTCCACCGGCGCCTCGTTCTCCGAGTTGTCCATTCCGTCGGTTCCCGGATTCCGTTTGTGCACGTTTTGGGCGAAGTTCCCCAAAGCGAAAGAGCGCGCGCCAATTGGCGGCCACTCGGCGACCGGAAACCCGTTTTCGTGTCTTTCGATAAAACATTCGCTTTTTTGCTCTGAAATCAGATTTTATTCAAAAAACATTCAAAAGTTTTGACAAAAAGTACCGAAAATTGAGAGAAAAATAACAAAAAGCAAAATTCGAAACATTTTCAAAAACATCTGTTTTTTTTGACATAAAAAACGTCAATCTTTCGCCATTTCCTCCTTCTTCTCGCGGTCTTCGATGAGAATCACTTTTTGGCCGTTTTTTTGGTCAGAAATCTTGCCTTTGATTAGATTTAAGTCAAGAATTGACGCCATTTTCGGCTCTTTTAACGAAATTCCTTTTTCTTCGATTTGTTTCCAATTGTTGTCCGAAAACTGGAACTTCTTTCGAATTGCAGTGAAATTCGAATCCAAATCCTCGACGAAAACTATTCTTCGAATTACAACCGATTTTTCCGCCATTTTTATCGCTCCGAAAGAAAACACCAAAAATATCAGAATTTCTTTCATTTTGAAATTTCAAATCAAAAAACATCTGTTTTTCACAAATAAAACGTTTTTATTTCAAAAAATCAATCATTTCTTCACTCCTTCTTCTCCTCGCTCTTCTCCCCCTTCTTCGCCTCTTGTGTCTCCCCCTCCTTCTGCTTCCCCTTCTTCTCACACGGCTTTCCATTGCAATCCGGAAGTTGCAAAAGTCTGAAACAAACAGAACATAAGACACAGAGAGAGACAAACTGTCACGTGACACTCACACGGCGTCGTCGAACATGAGAATGATGTCGTCTTTGAGGTCGCGATCGAACAATGTCTCCATCGAGGGCTCGCACTCCGGAAGGTCTAAACATAATTACACAATTAGAGCTCAGAACCCCTCATTCCTCGCGCCAAACCTCCCGCGCCGTCGAAGTCGTCTTCCGGCTCTTCCACCGAACGGCACTTCGGACGCATGCGCTCTACGCGCAGTTCGAACATCTCTTGCGGCCGACACGAGACGAGCACTGGAAGGAATTCGAGTCAACAATAATTCCAAACAAAGAACACAAACCTTGAAACGAAAGCAGAGAAAAAAGGAGAAAAAGTTTCGCCATTTTTGAAATTCAATACAAAATGAAATTATAATTAGTTTTCGGTTTATTTAATCAAAGTTCGAATTCGTCCAAAAACTCGTCTCCAATCTCGTTCTTCGTCTCGCACTTCGCGTCGACGCACACCGGCGTCATGACGACCAGCGGGTTGTCCAGCGCCGACACGTAGATGTCCGCGTTCTCCGCCAACTCCTCCTCGCTCTCCTCCGGCTCCTCCACATTCGTCTCTCCCAAATCCCTCGACCGCGGCGTCGTCTTCGTCTTCTCGGGGTTCGGCGCGTCTTCGGCCATGTCTTTGTCGGTCGTCGTCGGTGTCGTCGCTTCTGTCGTTCCTTCAACTCATTGTTAACATTGCAATCAAAACACAACCGTTCATACCTTCGGTCTCCGTCGTCGCCGTCGTCGTCGTCGTTGTGGTCTTGTCTTTGTCTGCGGCGGCCGCCTCTTCTTCTCCCGACTCCGTAGTGGTTGTCGTGATTTTGGCCTTCTTTCCGCCCTTCTTCACCGTCGTCTCCGCCGCCTCTTCGGTCGTCGTCTTGACGGTCGTCGTCTCCTCAGTGGTCGTCGGTTCCGCAGTTGTGGTCGTCGGCTCTTCTGTGGTCGTCGCGGCGGTAGTCGTGGGCTCTTCCGTCGTCGTCGTCGGTTCCTCTGTGGTCGTTGTGGTCTTCTTGTTGTCTGCGGCCGCGTTGTCGTCGTAGTCCTCGGGCGTCGTCTTCTTGGGCGTCGTCGTCGTCTCGTCCTCCCAATCGTTCAGTTCCTTCTCGAGCGCCGGATTCACCGCAAGAACCGAAGAGAAGAGAACTAAACATGGATTTAAAGACAATTTTCGGTCAAAAGTCAAAGAATTGAATCAAGAGTTCGAAACCTGAGACAAGAATCAAAAGAAAAACTCTTTTTTCGACCATTTTTTTCGAAATCATTTTTATTCACAAAAGGTTTCAGTTTTCGGTTTCAAAACTCGAACATAACTCAAACGCCTTCACTTAGAGGGCGCTGCAGTCGCGCGCACTTTGAAGGTCGCCATCGCGCGCGAGTTGATGGGCTCGGGCTCCGGCTTCTTCCTCTTCGGCACTTTGAAGGACGCCATTCCTCGTGAGTTGATCTCCGTCTCGTCGTCGTGTCCGTCGTGTCGCGAGTGTCTGTCGTGTTTCTGCCGCCACTCGTACTCGCGGTCACGTGACTCGCCGTCCACCGACGGCCCCTCCTCTTCCTCCCCCCTCTGCAGTCGCCGATCGCCCGAAAAGGAAGTCACGTGATATCGTTTTCGATCCAAATCTCTGTTCTGTTTGAAAAAGTCGTGAAAAATGAGAAAAAAATAACAAAATTTTGAATACATTTTCGAAATATTCGTATTCTTCGCCAAAAATGACAGAAAACGGGTCTCTGTAGCGGAAATACGCGCTCACGTGCACCACAATGGCTGCGGAGGAAAATTTGGATTAAAATTGTGGAAATATTTCGCCGAAAATCTTTACCGAAAAAAATGAATACATTTTTGAGAAAAAAATCCATTTTTAATCAAAAATCTTAATTAAAACGAAATTCAAAACCAAAACAAACTCTCATTTCTCGAGAATTGAAACCAATTTTTGAGTCATTTTCGAATACTTTTCGTGTTTTTTCAGATCTTTTGCCGAATTTTTCGCGAATTTTTTCACATTTTTCTGCTTTTCTTGAAATTCTTTTTTCGCCAAAAATGACAACAATTTCTCGTAAATGGAAATCACGCGCGAAATCAACTCTTCTTTCGCCGTTTTCCTTTCGATCGCTTTCATTGTCGCCGAAATCGCGTCCAAAACGTCGCCAATCAACAAATCCGCGTTCTTCTCGCTCTCCGCCTCCGCCGTCATGTCCAGCGTGTGTTTGGCCAGAACCACGTGACGCGCCGCCGACCCGCGAACGCGCTCTCGCAGAACGGAATTCAATTTCAAATTTATTTCTTGGAATTTCCTTTTCAGAGAATTCGACGAAAATTTTCCGAATTTTTGCATTTGTTTTCGAATTTCTGACAAAATTCTTCTCAATCTCGAAATTAAATCCAATTTTTCCGCCGTTTTCTCCGTTTTCGTCGAATTCTCTCGAATTTCCAACAATTCTTCAGAAATTTCTTCGTTTTCCGTCATTTCTGTCGAAAATTCTGTCATTTTTTCCGATTTTTTCATTAAATTCTTCAGAAATTTGAATTTCGAAACACTTTTCGGCGCTTTTGTCGTCTCGCGCGCAGACTTGGCCTCCATTGTTGTCGTTTCCGCTTTTGTCCCGAATTTGGATTCGATTTCCGTTTTATTCCTTAATCTCACGTCACGTGACGACAGAAGCGTTTCATTCTTCGCTTCTCTAATAATCACGTGATCGTTTATTCGAGTTTCGAGCTTTACTTTCATTCCATTCGCCATCTTGTCGTCGAATCCAATCTTCTCGCTCTTCGTCTCAACGGCTCTCGAGTCGCGAATCGCAGAAACGGTCGAAGTTTCTATAGTTTTTCCGTTTTCCGAATCTCTGACCGAAAGAGTCGTCAAAACAATAGACTCTTCGGTGTTTCCGCCGCCAGACGGCGTTCCCGTCGTTTCCATTGTTGTCGTCGAATATCTCGTGCTTTCGCTAATCACTTCTGTTTCTCCGCCAGACGTCACTTCTGTCGCCGTTTTCTCTGTCGAAGAAGAAGTGCTGACATCTCGTGTCCGACTCTTGAGCGCCGATTCTGTGATCACGTGATCACTGCTCGCGTTCTCTTCTTCTATTGCGAAAGTGGTTGCGACCGAAGCGGCGCTCACGTGATCAGTGCTGACATCTGTCGTCTGGAAATCACTTTCTTTCGAATTCTTCAGAAAAAATTCATTGTTTTTCAAATCATTTTCAGAATTCGTTTTCGAATTAAATTCATTCATAATTGGATTCAATGTTGGAATCCTTTCTGTCGTCATGACAACCGTTTTGAACGCATTTTCTCCAATTATTTCTCGACTTTCGGAATCCTTTTCATTCGAGTTCTCGTTTCTCACACCAGATGTCATTCCAGTCTTCGGTTTCGTTTCACTTCTTCTCAAATCCAAACTCTCGTTCAGACTTTCGGTCACTTTCTCCGCAGAGTTCCCTACAATCACACCAGACGTCGCTTTCGTCGCTTCGCTCTCTTTCTGTAAATATAATTCACTTTTCAAACCTTTTTCTAAAAAAGAGACAAAAAATTGGGAAAAACTCTTTATTTCTGAAATTATTTTACAATTTCTGCTTTTGCAACATTACGTCGTTTTGGCCGAAATAGATCGGGCGCCGCGTCTCGTCTTCCGCTGCAACAAAACACACGATCAGAACAACAATCAAAAGCTAAACTCAAATACTTGTCTCTGTCGTCGCTTCCGTCGTCCCCATTGTCGAGCGCGTCCTCTCCAGCGCCGCCGACTCCTCCTCGTCCGCCTCTCCGCGCGTCGTCGTCTCCACTGTCGTCATCGCTGTGGTCGTGCCCACTGTTGTGCGCGTTCTCTCCAACGCAGCGCTCTCCTCCTCATCCGGCTCTTCCCGCGCAGTCGTCGTCTCTCTCTCCCTTTGCACGGGTTCCGCGCCCAAAGTGGTCGCCCTCTCAGTCTTCGCCTTGTCGTCGGCCGCCGCGTCCTCGCTGTCCATCTCTGTGGTCGTCGTTCTCTCCTTCTCCACGGGTTCCGCGCTCTCCGGATCTGTTGTTTCTTTTTCGCACAAATTTCGCCATTTTTTGCGCCAATTCTCGCAAAAAGATCTCCTCTTCGGCTCTGAAAATGACTTCTCGCGCGAACAATACGCGAAGAGTTGAGAATTTTGCATTTCTTCACAATTTTCTTCTCGTTTTGGAAAACATTTTCTGTTTTTTCGCCGAATTTCAAGACATTTCGCTTTCAATCCTTTTTTCACGCATTTTTCGTATTTTCTCGCAATTTGTTCGCAATTTTCGAAACATTTTTCGTATTTCTCGCGATTTTTCGAACAATAATTGGAATCTGTTTTCGAAAACAATTGGAAATCAAAACAAGAGTCAAAAGAATGCGAAAATTACTGGAATTTCGACACGAATTGTGGATCCGCTGCACGCGAGCGCACGAATCCATTTCCGGCTTCGCACAGCGCGCTCTCACTTCCGGTCTTTCGCACAACTCGTCGTTCGCCGCCTTCACTCTCAGCGCGTGTTCGAAACGCCGGCGGAACCAATCGTTGTCCGCAGCGAAGCCTTTGTTGTAATCGCGCGCGAAATGAGGCGAGAATTGACTTTCGAAACGGTTTTCATTTATTTCTTTGGATTTCGAAATTAAAGACAAAAAGAGAAACAAAACGAAAACAAAATCCATTTTCGACTTCGCGTCACGTGACAGCAGTGGTGGCGCCCTCTACCGGAACTCGATGACAGAGCGCACGCTTTCGCCCGCTTTCAGCAAATCGAACGCTTTGTTGATGTCTTTCAACTCAAAGCGATGAGTGATCAGCGCTTCCACCGCCAGGCCTTCCATGAACTCTTCGCACAACTCCTGCACCGCGCGCCGCGACTTCTGGTTCGCGAAGTATCCGCCAATCAGTCGCTGTCCGCCCAGAATGTCGCCCACGCGCACCTCCAGAGTGGCCACGGGTCCCAACCCGACGCACACGAGCGCCCCCCAGGGAGAGAGACAGCGCAGGCCGGAGCGCAGCACAGCATTGTTGCCCACGCAGTCGAACGCGTAGTCCACCGCTCCGGCCAACTGTGACTCCGCCTCTGCAACGCAAAGTGTGAGTGAATGGAAACACAGAACACAGAAGCACTTGCCGTCGGGCGCCAGGAAGTGCGTGCAGCCGAACGCGCGGCCGAAGCGCTCCTTCTCTTTGTTCACGTCGATCCCGACCACTCTTCGGGCGCCCGCCAGAGCGCACGCCTTCGCTGTGGACAACCCAATGGCGCCCAAACCCCAGACCGCGCACGTGCTGTCGCGGTGCACTTCCGCCAGGTGCCGCACGCTCCCGAAGCCAGTGCCCACCGCGCAGCCCAGAATGCACGCGTTCTTCAGGTCCACCGCTTTGTCCACCTAAGCAGCCAATCATGAGAGAGAGAGAGAGAGAGTGAGTAGTCACGTGACTCACCTTGCAGATCTGCGATTGGCGGAGAACGGCGTATTCGGCGAAACAATTTGTGCCGCAAAAGGAGAGCAACGGCTTTCCGCCGACCTTGAGTCTCGTGTCGCCCTCTCGCGGCCGCAACAGAGACACGAAGTCCGCGTCCGCGCAGCGGTTCGTCCGCGGGTTCCGACAGAGGGCGCAGTCGTCGCAGTTCGGGATGAAGAGCGGGATCACGTGATCGCCCTCCGCCACGCCCTCCACGCCCGCGCCCACGCTCTCCACCACCGCCGCGCCCTCGTGGCCCAACACCACCGGCACTCCCCCGAAGTCCAGCTGCAGGTCAGTGCTCTGTCCCCACACGAAGTGCGCGTCCGAGGCGCACACGCCGGCGGCCACCATGCGCACGCGCACTTCGCCCCGCAGCGGCGGATCCACTGTTATCGTCTCGATGGCCAGAGCGGTGCCCTCTTTCCAGAGAACGGCCGCCGAACACGTGATCACCTGTGGATGGGATAAGAGTCAGAGTTGTTGTGATTTGCGGCGAAAATACCTTTCCTTTCGTGGAATTCATTTTTGGTTCAAAATTCGCGAAAATTCTCTTTAAATACGTTTCGAAAACAAAAACAAATCTTTTTTCGCAAAAAGTGTCAAAACTTTGAAAACATTTCGACTTTTAATACAAAACAGAAGAAAAGATTGAAAGAAACAATTATTTACACTTTTTATACATTTATTAATCGATTCTTTCATTAAATGATTATTTATTCTCAAATTTTAGACATATTTCTGGTTTTTATGACAAATATTTGTAAATATTATGAAATATTATGAAATAAATAAACAAATCATTGATTTTTGACAAAATCTTTGAACAGTTTTGAGAAAAAGTTTTCTCTTTTGACACAAAATCTGCCGAAAGATGTCGTTTTCGTCGCTCTTTGCGAACATCTGTTTATGAAAGAGTTGCGCCCTTTTTGCACATCCAATACTACAGAAGAGAACGCTTTGTTTCGGCAAAAAGGGCGCAAAAGAGAACAAAAACTCAATTCAATTCAAAATGAAAAGTGTATTTATTTTTCTCAAATTTTCGTTAATTTTTTTCTTGATTTTAATCTTAATTTTGAACACAATTTACATAATAAACAACATTTCGATGGAAATCACGACAAATGACATTCCGTTCATTTTCGGCACATTTTTCGGTCTTTTTTTCCGCATTTTTGCCTTAATTTCTGCATTTCGTCACCAATTCTTCGCTCTTCTCGTGTTTTCCGTGTTTCTCATTGTTATCACAATTAAGACGCCATTTAATCTGCAATTTGTCGTAAATCTCGTGACGACAATACATTTGGCGCTCTTTTTGATCGCAATTCTCATCGAAAGACGAAAATCGCGAAAAACCGAAGAAAACATCACTTCAACGCTTCCAACGCTTCCCTCGGCTCCGCAGTGCGACCAAACAGTCGACTCTCCGCCCCCTTATAAGCGCTAAACGCGTCGCAAAGTCACGTGATTTCGAAAAACTCTTTTCCTTTGGTTTCTCTGAAAAACAAAATTCAATCAAAAACTCAACAATAGTTTCGAGACTCACGAGAAGATCGGCCAAAACGAGCGGCAAAATGGCGGCGAAGGCGTGGAAGAGAAGAGCGCCCGCAGACAATAGCGCGGAGGCGGCGACGAGCGAGTGGTGGGCGGGGCTGAGCAGCACAAGAGTGACGTAATAGCAATGGGCGGAGAAGTGGAGGAGAAAGGCGTGGAAGAGAATAATGGCGTGAATTCGCAACAAAAGCGCGGATTTAAAAACGGCGCCAAAAAAGGCCAACAAAAAGACGGGAATCGCGAGACCGGAGACGACGGCTATTGTTAGGCATTGCGCCGAAGAAATGGTCGCGAATTTGAGGGGAAATAAACCGCAAAACAAGAGAACGAGAAATGCGGAGAAAATAATGCAAAAAAACGTCTGAAAAATAAAAGTGAAATAAAAACACAAATATTTGAAACTTTTGTCTCGTTTTCTGTCGACAGAAAAGCGCGTGAAAAACAACTGATCGACGAATTGACGGCAAACACAGCACTCGCGCGCGTATTGCGAATGAGAAACGGTTTTTGACGACATTTCGCGAGAAATAAACACTTTTTGAGAAAACAATTTGTGTTTCCAAACAATGAAAGCGAGAGCGAGAAGAAGAAGACCTCAAAAACTGTGAATTTCGCAAACTTTTCCTCAAATCGTGAAAACGAGAGAAAATTCGCGCTTTTTATTCATTTTTCTATTGTTTCGCAAAAACCGTTAAAAATTGCATTTTTTTGAATGAATACTCATTAGTATTATTGTCGCGTGAATTCACGGCTCAATGAATACTGGCTTTCGATCTGTCGTTCAATTCATTATTACGTGACGAAAGACGCCATCTTTCGGGCGAAACGCGAATTAAGATTTGACACAATTTCTCGCGAATTAAACGAATTAAAACTGATTTCTTTAATAATCACTTCCTTTTCACTCTTTAATCGTTTTGACTTTCATTTCCAATTAAATATCGGTTCCAAAGCTTTTGGCATTCATTCGCTTTTAACCCAGTTTTGAATTCGTTGCCATTGTTCGTGATCTCGAGATACGGAGCGATTGTCTCGTCTCCTATTCGCCAATACTCTTCCCATTTGACGCCCGACTGTTCCGGCGGTGATCTGAAGCAAAGAAGCATTAATTATTAGACAAAAACAAATGCAATAAAAACCCGTGTTTCGCGAAATGCGCCAAAAAGTGCATCATTTGCTCCGAGATCTCTCTCTCGCGCGCGCAATACTCCTCGGGATCGATGAAAGGGTTGCCGAACATCGGGAAGATGTCGTTCGTGTGACAGACGCCCATCCATTGCGAGCAGAAGAAGTTCGTCTGCAGTTTGCTGTTGAAGAGATATTGCCAGACGCGGGCGCCGCCACTGAACGCGCGTCTCGCGAACTCCAGAGTGGGACACGTGAGGTAGTAGTCGCCGACAGCGATTCCCAATTGGCGCCGAATCGCGTCCGAAGAGTTCTGATCCGAAAAACCCGAGAAATACAGTTTCGCGACGTCTTCGCCGTTTACGCGCTTTTTTGAACACAAATTGTCCGCAATTTCTGTCAACTCTTGTTTCGCTTCCTCGAGAGTGAAGTTCTTGGGATTCGTGGCGTGGAATTTCTCGGGATCCGTTAACCACGTCAAGAGGAACGAACCCTCGTCCTCCACAGTGGACACCAAGAGATTGACGTTTCGCTTGAAATCGCGTTCTTCGAGCATTTCTTTCGGTCTTTTGGGCAGAAATTTGCCGTCAATTACCACCAAATTGAACACTTTGACGGAACCGATCATCAGATCCGTGTCGTCAGTGATGGCCACCAGACGGCGCGCGTCCACTCCTCGCAAACACTCCATTATTTTCTTAGTAAACCTGCCTTTGCTCTCGGCGTCAACGCAGCCCACAGTCGCCGCCCCTCTCAGCCACCGCGTCACGTGATCCGACGGCGAGTCTCCCGAATAGTCGTACAAATAGGCGCCGGAGTTGACGATCGCGTTGTGGAAGAGGTGTCGCGAGACGGGAGAAATGGTGTGCAGAGAGACGCTCCACCCGCCGGCGCTCTCCCCGAACAGAGTGATGCGCGAGTCGTCGCCCCCGAAGTAGCGGATGTTGTCTTTGATCCACTCCAAGGCCAGCGCCTGATCCCACAAACCCACATTACCCGGCGCCTCATCCTCTCCCGCGTACAGAAAGCCCAGAGCGTTCAATCTGTGGAGACATGGAATGAATGAAAAGCGGTTTGAATTGAGCGCCAAATACCTGTAATTGAGGGAAACGACGACCACGTCCTGCTTCGCGGCCAACACGTCGCCCTGGTAGTAGTGCTCGGAGGCCGAGCCCACGAGAAGGCCGCCGCCGTGGATCCAAA